AATCACATTGCTCTGAACATAAATGCTTGTAAACTCACTATGGGAAAGTACAGATTTTTCTTCTCCATGAAATGAATTTATCTTACATGATGTGTGTGATACTTTTAAGTTTTCTGCATCATCTTTAGTCATCTTCAACAGAAGTATCTCTTTTTAAAAATAGGCTAGAAGTTTGATGAATGTTTTATTACAAAAATAATAAAAAATAAAAATCACCATATATTTTGTTTCCTCCCAGTGAAGTTTGACCAGTTAGAATTAAGAATTTCATTTTGCTGCCCACTACACTAATAGTATATTCAACAAGCTCCAAATTATTCCCTGCCTATTGGGCTTGACTATTCTTCCCTCAGCCCAACCAATTCTATTGTTTTGCAATGTCACTTCTTTAGCTACAAGAAATACCAAACCCAACTCCAAATCTCCCATAAGAGGCACACATTCACTCCAAATATCAGCCAACTAAAACATTAAGATCTTCAGTTAAAAAAGGACTGATTTAGTACATTATTAATCTTGTGATATTAATCCAAAACCTCTCCCTCAAATTCTTGGCTCCAATCAAAGGTTATTTTTGTGCAAAAAGGCCTCTGCCGCTTACCTCTACATGCAAAGTTTTTGTATGGGCAACCTTATCTCACTGTTAAGAAGTTTCATCAAATTACTTCAAAACAATTTGAGTATTGTTCTGCAAAAGCTATCCCCTAACAGAATATTCAAGACAGACACGGTAGAACTGAACTGTCCCATATTGGGTACTAATACAGAAATACAGAATACCAAGCCAGTGGTATTTACCATGGGAAAGAGACCAACTTTTAAATACTTCATTATTTCATTAAGTTCAACAATGCCTTGAACTATCTCTTATCTAGAATTACTTTACAATTAGGTCCTGACATGGAAGCATCCCTACTACTAGGTCTTCTTGGGTGTATCAACCTTATATTAAAAAAAGCATGAAACTTCAGGTGGCTTCAGGCAAACCTTAAAACAGAGTACATGCATTTCTGACAGAAGATACAGAAATATATGCTGAATGGCAAACTGAATGAAAAGTTCTCATATAAGAGGTCTGTAGTAAAGTTATCCAGGAGAAAGACTCCCTTTTAACACATCTAATAGTCTTAATTTAAGACTCTAATATCTGTCATCCTCTGTTCCATCTTCGATATAGTGTTAACTCCATCTCAGGAATGTCAACAAAACAAAATGTAAGTTACTGCACATGGCTCATTCCTCATAGCCATATTCTCATTTTCTAGCCCATTTCCCCACACAGCACATCTCCTAGACCTTGCACAAGAATGGGTCTCAGCAATTCAAACACTGCTATGAGCAGTTACATACAGATGCAACAGTTACATGAATCAAATATTGCACACACCTCCCAACCTGTGGAGTCCTTACTACAGGCTAGGGAGCCCGAGAATGGTCCCACTGTGTGTGACAAGTTATCACTGAAAAGTTTCTCTGCTGGTCATTACTTACAATCACATACACTTTGTGATACTCATGCTACACGAAAAACCCTGAGCAGACAGCAAGCAACACAAAGAGCTAGCAGCTCCATTAGTGTCTTGGTTACACTGATAATTCCATCTTTGCTGTCACCTGTGAAACCACTAGAAGACTCACAATTAGATAACCTCTCTGCACATCTATTCCTGCTCCAGTGAAAAAGGAGTTTTATAAATCACCTTTACACTTCAGAATGATGTACTGAAACAAGAACTTTAAATCTGTGTTTTTCCTAACGTAGTTGTCAAAGTTGTATTCTACCAGATCAGGACATCTTCCTCGTGAGTACCACCTCAGATTACACTGCTTCTATGTGCTCTTCGTGAATTAACACTGAAAAATAATCCAACAGTCTTTCCTTTTATCTAGCTAGCATGCAAGAAAATAAAACCAGAGGCTTCCAAAACTGTTCAAAAATGAAAAAAGGGCTGGCATTAGCAAGCTGCAGAAAAAAAACTAATTCTGTTTTTGCATTTCTCTAATAAATGCTACTTTATCAGATCAGGTTTCTTTCAAGAGGAAGGGGGTGGAGAAAGTCACTGAACCCAGTTGTACAGGCTAAGCTTGGAGTGGCATAGTGTTATTCTGAAGTCTTCCTTTCAAGGAAAAGTATTTCATACACTCAGACTTCACACCCTTACAGCCAATATACCTATTACATCAGTTCATTGCTGCAAACCAGTTGTTCTTCATGAAAACAATAATTTCAGCTGAAGTCAGCAGGAAGCACAAGTATTCCAGACAGTACGTCCTGTAAAAATCATGGAGTCGTGGGGACCAAGAGCTGTAGTTACTCTACAGTAAACAGCAAAACCTCAAAGTAGCAAGTTATTCCAGCAGTAGCAAGTACTACAGACCGAAATCTTACAAACACATCATGTGCATTAGTCATCTTGACAGCTTCTTATACCCACAAGCCTCATGATTTCAGTGCATTAATACATCAGTTAACAGTGACAAAATATTTTAACTGTAACTATTTTATTTTAAGGGGAAGTTTACTGGCAAGGGATATCTTGCCACTAACGACTTAAGAATTTTGTAGGATTTAAAGTGAGCAAGTAACTCTGATGTTCAAAAATGAACTGAGAGTATCTCTAAATGAACTTAACAGAAATGCAAGGTAGTTATAGAAGCCTATGCAACACTGCAGTGTTTTCTGTATCAAACAAGACATTTCTGCCTTGCAACATTTTGCTATTCTTTCGATACAGTTGGTTACAAAAGTACTAACACAATTAAAACATTTCAAATATATTAGTCATTTGCACTTCTTAGACTGCAGTGTCCATATTGCAAACACGCAGATCTTAAAGAGACATGCTACATATGGCTGCTTTCAAGAAGTCGAGAGATTCAAGCTGATTTTCAACCACCTTTACCTTCCCACAAGCAAACAGTAGCTCGCACTCGAGGCTATGAAACAAACAGAACAAATTACAACTCCAAACTTTGCCTAGAAACCACAGGTCTGCCCCTCCTCGACTTGGGCACGGGTAACCAACTGCCAGCGTTCACCAATATAAAAATCATTATTAAATGCCTGAGAGGTTTTGAGTTTGGTTTTTTTTTAAGCTAGAATCATACCAAGTAAGTGTTTTGCTTTTTATAGTGCGTATACTTGAAATAGGAGTTTCCAAGACAGCAAAAAAACCACACAGCGTATCGGAGACATCTGTGAGGCACTCCAGGGTACACTCCGCACTGAGTGGAGAAGACGGTCTGAACAGCAACAATTATAGCACTTTATTGCACTTCAACGCGACGCTGCCCCTCAGGCGGGGAAAAGGCAAACTTCTATAGCCAGAAAGACGGTGAACCATCCGCTGTTCCGGACAACTCACTGCCCTGCAGCGCGGCTCGCCGAGCTCCTTCGCCGGCCGGGGCGGGAACAGCCGAAGGCGACTTCCAGACAGGAGCCGCAGAGGTCCAGAAAACCTCCCAATTTAACCCCTTCCCGGCCCCAACCTCGGCCACCGCTACCGGCGGGGGAAGCCGCCCCGTTACGGCGCGGGGGGCGGACGGACCGGCGCACCTGTGCGCAACAGGCCGGGGCGGGCGGGCCCGTGGCCGCGGGAGCCCGAAGTTGTCCGCGGCGGCCGAAGTTGCTGCCGTGAGGAGGAGCGGAGGAGGCGGGCCGGCCGCCGCTACTCACCCGCACCAGGTTGCTGACGGCGGCCTGCACGGCCGACACGGGGGCGGTGAGGTCCGGAATGGCCTTGCCGTCCACCTCCCCCTCCTCGTGCATGATGACCAGGTGGGAGATCTGCTGAGCCACCGGCTCCAGGATGCTCTCGATGGTGCGCGTGTGGAAGACGGGCATGGCGGCGGCGGGGGAGGGGGGGCCGGGGCCCGAAGTCCGCACAAACTCCTGGCAAACTCTGTCCCTGCGGGCTGGCGCCCCACAGAGAAAGCCGCGGCCTCCGCGCGAGAAGGAAAACGAAGAACAGGAGGAAAACAAACGAGCACTCGAATCTTCCCTCGCCGCTGAGCTGGATACTGCAGCCCGGAGCAGCGACTGCCGGTGGAGGCTCGCGGAGGCGGGACTCGAACTCGCTGCCCTCCTGCCTCTCCCTGGCAGCGCCCACCCCGCACTGGCACCACTCCTCAGCCAGGCGGCGGCTTTTCAACACCACAGCCTACCCCGCCCACGGCTCACCGCCCCCTCGGCCGCCCTCGCCCAATGGCAGAGCCGGAGACGCCGCTCCCAGTGGCGCAACGCCACGTCCATCAACATTCCAGAGCCTCCCTCCCCCTCCGCCCCCTCGCCTTTCCCGCACCACCCGCCTTCCCAACCAGGCTTGGTTGCGCGGGCGCTGGTTTCCCAGCGTTGAGGTGACGTCAGACATTCTGGTGTCCATATAAGGAGACGATTAAAGCCCGGGGTACCGGGATAGCGGCCGGGGCGCGCGGGGGCGGCGGGATCCCTGCGCCCCGCCCCTCCCCTCCCTCGGTTGAAGTTTGGGGCGGTTGGGCGGAGGTGGGTGCTGCCCGCTCCACGGAGCTCGCCCGGTGGGGTGCGCGTGGCCGGGCGCAACTGGGGAAGGGGGCGGCCGAGGGGAGGCGGCGCCCCGCGCCGTACTGGGAGGCTTCCCGCGGGGGGGGGGGGGGGGCACCTCTCCTAGCGCCACTGGCGCGACCTGGTTTTCCCCACACACACCCCGCGGCGGTCGTCGCCTTCCGCACACGGGCGCCCGCTCTCCCCACAACCTCCGCTGCAGGGCACCCCGCAGCCGGCCCGGCCCGGCACGCCCCGGGCGCGGCCCCGACCTCTTCCGCCCCTCCTGAGGAGAAGTGGCGGCGGCCGCTACGCCGGGGCCGCTTCCCGCCCGCCCGCGGCGGGGAGGAGAGGGCGGGGGCGGGTGGCTGAGGGGACGCGGCGGGACAGCGGCCGCCGCCCCGGCAGCGCGCCCTCGGGAGAGCGCCGGGGTCAGGGCCGGGCGGCGGCGGCCCCGGGGGGCGGCCGGGAACGCCGAGTAGGGGTAGAGTGAATTTCGGCTCACGCTTTTTACCGTTGTAATCTCTGGTGACAGCAGCGGCACGGGCGCTCGTTTAAATACCGTTAGGTGAGCGACGTGGTTTTGTGGGAAGGAATACAAGCCGGTAGCCGGAGAGTAACAGAAATTCCCGCTCTCCCGGTGCTGGAGCGCGGCCGCCGGCGGCTGCTCCGCCGTGAGGGAAGCCCGGTGGCGGGGGGGGGGGGGGGAGCTGCCTTCGCCGGCGGCCGGCGGCCCGCTCCCCCGCCCCGCACAGCCTTGGCACTTGCGGGAGGGCTGGCCGGAGGCCTGCAGATACCGCCGCCAGGCTTAATAAAACTTAGGCTGTGAACTCATATGGGGCGCTACGTTACCCGCTCCCCGGCTCAGTGTCTCCTGTGACATGGGGAGAACTCGTGGTAATAAAGTATGTGAGTAAGGGGTTTTAGGGTTGCAGTCTGTAGGTCTTCCTTGATAACATGAGAACAGAATTAGATTTGGTAAATGATTGCTGGCTTTTAGGTGCTTTTTCTCTTTGTCCTGCTGCTGCTATTTTAAGCAATAAATCAATATTCCTGTCAGACTAGCTTTCCCTCCAACGTTTCCGAGCAAACCGCATGCTTTCTGTGCAGTGTTGGAACACAGCTGGTCCTACCGGCAAACACAGGGACATACAAAAAGAGCAATTAAATCAGTAAGGCTTCAGATGTGCACAAGTATCTGTCTTGATAACTTCTAGTACCAGAGTTGTCATTGTTGGAGCTACAGGGATAGATATAACTTGTAGGCCTAAAGAGCTAAGAAAACCAGATTTTGTGCAGGTTTAGAGATATTAGCAACACCTTTAGCTCTGAATTTAATTTTTTTTTTGTTCTTTAGTATGCTGGGAATTGTGTTTAGGTGTGTGTATTTTTTGAATCTGCAATAGTGGAAGTCAGATGACTAATTTCCATGTTGTGCAATCCAGTTTTGTTTGGAAAGAGGTATACCTGTAGGTTTGATGATAAGAGATAATCAAATTATGTTATTGGTATTCAAAACATAATTAAAATATCAGCTTCTCAGCAGTAATGAGTGTATTAAGTCCTTTGAACTGTGTACCATAAGAGTATTTTACGTTGTTAAGTATTGGCTGTATAGCATCTACTTATCGTTTCTAGTATATGCATTCACAGCAGTGCCTCTTTAGCATACTATGGATCAGTAATAATGAGCCCACATAAAAATCCTTCTGGATAGTAACGTGCAGCAGCTGGGAATTACAAAAAGCAATTAGTCCATGTTATGAACTAATAATCTGCTAAATTCCATTTTGTGGAAGTGCACAAACCTAATAAACCACATCTTTAGTCATACATGGGACTTGCACATAAGCTAAGTTCTCTGATTAAAAACAGTTGCTTTAAGTCTGGGATCTTGTATACTGAGTTCTGACTGAAATAGGCATGTGCATGCCTATGCTTTAAAGAAAAAAGTGCTATCTGATCATTATAAAAGGCTCTCTTGGTGGCTCTAATAGGTATAGTTACTACAGCAAAATAAAATATAGAACAGATGGACATTTTTGATAGCCTTCTGAAACTTTATTCATCTACCGTGCCAGAATATTTGTGTTTGCATTTTTTTTGGGGGGGGGGGGGGGGGGGGGGCAGGGGTGTGTTGGTATTAAGAGTTTGTTTCACTATTTGGGTTACATTGGTGTAATTTTTGTCCATGCAAAAATCAATTTTTATTTTCTGCACTACATGACTGTACTACCGGTTCATCATTGAAATTTTGTGCCTGATGTTGCTGTGGCTACCTAATTTTTGAAGCCACATCCAGCAAAATTCCATTAAATTAACTGCAATGTGTGCAGCACTGGTTATTTTTTTTGTTTTCTTTTTAAGTATTGCTTTTACAGGTTTTTCTCTTTCCTTTGCAGTATTCAGATCTGTCGCAATGATGTCATATGAATAACAGCTTTGCAGCAGGTACTTTTTTTTTAAAAATCAGTTTCTCTTGCCCTTTGCACTGTTTAGTCTGTAATTATACATTAATTATGCTTCTACTGTGAGATTGTTTCTCCAGTTTATACAGTTTCATTAAGTCTCCATGTCTGAACAGATGGTTAGAAAGTAACAGTAGATTTGATCACAATATTTTCCATTTATTAAGCCCAAGGTAAAAATGTATAAATTTTTTTGTCCTCTTCGAGTATGGTATTCCACATACAACAATGGATTTCCTACTGAGAAAAAAAGAGATGCTGAACCTCCTTTCCTTTCCACATGCTCAGAAACTTAGTATTGTTAAGAAATAGTATCTATTATTAGCATGACAGTGATGACTCGTATCTCAAATAAGTTTGAGTGGTTAGAATGAAAGGATTAGCTTTTAAGACACACTTTCCATGTCTTCTACTATTCCACAAGAACTCAGGTGAGTCCAGTTAAACCCATTTCTGCAGAGAAGGGGATGTCAGCAGACTCTTCTGCTTACAAAAATCTCTACTGACTTCAGGGCCATAAAGTCTTTCTGTCCCACATGATCAGATAAGAAATTCTCTTTTTCTCACACGCCATTATGTCTTTTAATGAAGCAAAGAAATCCTGTCTTTACTTCCACTGCAGTAAGTGAGATGTGTGAATACAGAATTAATAGGCTTTGGTAGAAAAAAGGAGCACACTGTGCACTTACAAACCACGTAGCTGCAGTGCAGCCTCCTGCACAGTACCTTTCGCAGAGTTCTGTATCCTGTGGTCAGGGCACATGGCACTGCAGCTGCAAGTGGCAGGAGCAGTGGAACAGAACTATTTTCAAAGAACTTAAAGAACTTGCAGCTAACTGTAAGGTGTTTTGCTAATATTAATACTTCATTGAAGTGCAGGTATCTAGTTAGCTCTAAGCACTAACCTACAATTTAAATTAGTTATTTTCAGTATTAGGCAGAGAAAGATTAGGTTTTATAGGCAAATGCACTTGTCTGTGATTAATCACTTTTCCCTGGAATGACCTGGCATTGTTCCTTGACTGCACCAACTTTTAACTTTTCTGAGGAACACCTGATTAGCTGCCTGAGAATGTTTACAGAAATGCCGTATTCATATATTGGATAAACTGGATGGCATTACTGTCTTGATCCTATGAAAATTTAGGCTTATGTTGAAATTTAAGGAGTAGAGTCTCTTTTTAGCAGCTTCTGGAAGCTTGGAGGCTACTGTTGATCAGTGGATGTAGACTGTAAGGTCAATTCATTCTGCACTTCCCTCTTATCAAGTCATTAACTTTGGGTAATGTAAGATGTAAGCAGTGGATGATTGAAGTTGTTTTTTTTTTTTTTCTCTCTGTGGTAGTGTGTGCCTTAAACATAAATTTTAAATTTTTCATAGGTTTGTTGTAGAATGATATTACTATATTGATAAGTCTAGCATGTAGGTGACTGTCACAGGTAGAATACATTTCACACCTAAGAATTTACAACCTAGGGGAAAGAAAGAGCAGATTACTAAGGAAATACGACATCTTCACCATAATAGTCTGCAAATGTGCCTTGCCATTATAAAGATGACTTCTGCCACGAAACTAGGTTTGGTTCTGTTTAGCAATGGGTTCTTGCTGCCTGTGTTCTAGGAACTGCACCAAGACCAACACTTCAGGATTTTTTTCCACTGACTCATCATCAGTCACTATCTGAGCTAGATAGGAGCAGCCTATTAGGATTGGAAAATTTAAATCACAATTGTCAGCCATCTCCTGAAAATGAACTTTGTTTCATCATACAAGGCTGCTTGATTCCTAGCTGCCCTTCTGTAGATTGTTAAAACATAGTGGGGCTGAGATCTGCAGAGAATGCTGCTACCAATTCACTATCTTGTTTAAGGACTTTCTTGCTAGAAGTTCTACACAGCTATGTAGCATCTACCGGGAAACCAAGAGTACAAATGTAGTTTATTTTTTCATCTTCTTAGTTACTGTGCCAACTGCTCTGAACCCAAAACTTTTTACTAACTACACTGCATTCTTAAGTGGTTTACTGTAGAATATCACAAAAATTGTAACTACACAAATCAAGGAATATTTTTAAGAACATAAAACATGGAGAAAAGAAATGTGAGCGTACTAAATATATATGTGCGTATATATATTTAATGCTTATTCTAGAAATTGCTAACTAGGAATGAGGCTCAAAAAAACAGATTTTCCTCCCTTTCTTCTGAGAAATTCCAGATGAGAATATATTATCATGTTATATGGAAAGCATGTATGATAGTGTATATGTAGTTAAAATTACACAGTCTATTATTGGTAAATGCAAACAAAAACTCTTTCTACTCTTGTGACAGCATTACTATGAACCTATGATAGACTTTGTGTTTTCAAAAAGCAACAGGTAGTTTTCAGGAGCTTGACTTTATGATTGGATAGATGAGTACCACTACAAGAAAAAAGAACTGAAAAAACTATTCCTATATATCCCATCAAGTATCACATTTGTTACTAGAGTGTTCTTTTAAATAACATTTTTAGGCAACAAGATGTATATGCTTGTGCTCTGAGTATAGGTATGCTGGCTGAAAGCTTGACTGTCTGGTAAACAGTCTAAGTGTTTTATTCACGGTAGGTGGCCATTTGAACAGTCTAAACATTAATTTTACCACTGGTGATTTTGGTTAATGTTTATGGTCATGTCTACACATGGACACAGGGAAATTGAAGCAAATAAAATGAAGATGTTAAATGGGCTTAAGTTAAGAGTATTAAACCTCATGTAAATGCTGTCATTCAGCTTTAAATGGCCTTTGTTGCACCATGATTCTTTTCCAAGAACATGTTTTTTGGGAGCAGTAAGACTCTTGTGATCAAGCAATTTACAGAGCTGCTGCATCTACCAGCTGTGATGTGGTAACTGGCTTTTTGTATGCTTTTTGTGCGTTTCCTTAAAAAGGGAAGGGTTGGTTTCAATCACTCTTGTTGATCAGTTTAAGCTTCTCAGTTTTACTTTGCACTGAAATGGAGAGATACCTCAGCTGATATGCCTACAGTAAGTTCTCAAATTTCTTTAAATGCCTTGCAAGAACACATCTTGATACTCACTCACTTCTTGATGAAGTATTTTTGCATGTAATTATGTTCAGTTCAATTTCAAGGACCCCTATATCCAAATCAGCATATCAGATCTATGTAATACTTGCATTTTTTTGGCTACATGTTTATCAGTGCCTGTTTCAGCTCTTCCGGCATTTTTTTCCCTCTGTAATATTAGGTACTTGCATGTATCAACTGCTTTCCTCGTAGTTCCTCATATTGCATTTGATTTATTAAAGTATTAACATATGTGTATATTGGTAAGTATAAGATTAGTCTGAAATTTGGAGTGTTTTGCTGGTTTGGAGTTTTGTAAATTATTTATATCCCTACTGCAGAATGAACAGGCTCAGGGGTTTCTGCAATTTTGTGTACATTCCAGTTTACCACAAAGCCAAACCCTTTGGACTGGCCAAGACTTCTGGAAAAGCCACTGTCTAAATTTAAATAATATTATATTTAGTAATAATTACCTCTTTTAATATATGCATGTATGTAGGTGCTTTTTTACTGGGTAATTGTGAAGATCTTTCATAGATTCCTTATGGCTTAAATAATTATCTTAGCATGCATACTAAAGATTTGTAGCTTTATATTAGTAGATGTAGGAGTTTACTGCCATCAGCAAGTACTAAATGGCCAATTAGGCAATACTTTAAAAAGAAGTTGATAGGTATCACCAAATTTATGTATATATGTATAAACTCTTCCATATACAGTGGAGATCTAAGTCCACAGAATAAATCACATTGACATACTTTTGAGTTTTGTCATCTGTGCCATATTCATTAATTCATCTTTACTAAAAATTTCTAGCGTCTCAGACCTCAGAGGAACTTAAAGTAATTACAATAAAGAAAGAAAATTAACTTAATACAAAACTACTTCCTTCTTCCTGCCCTGAGATCCTGAACCTGCAGTTATTTTCACATAATTGGACTCATTGTAAGATTGCTCTGTGAATGTATGCATTTTGTTCTCTGTTCCTCATAAAAAATGCAGGGATGTTGCAGAAAGGACAGTGTGTATTCGACACTGTGCCACTCGTAGGTTTAAAGATCGTTAGGATTGTAGTGAGAGGTTTATCCTGTTACAAAGGGAGGAATTCAGAAATACATTGATCCATGCAACACTTACGGGCTTGAAAAAACTGTCCTTATGACATGTTATGTCCATAAGATTTGTATTAGAATCTTTTTAAAGTGTACTGAAAACATGATAATCTTTCTCTTAGTATCCTCTATAGCTAGATTCATAGCTATTAAGAATTAAATTGTGAATCTCTTACACATAGAGAAGATCATTGTGATTTGCCTTACTTTCCTATAGTGGTCAAGTTAGTGGACGGGATTTTTGCATAGGTGAGATTAGCCATGCGAGTATTCAGAGATAGGAGTGAGAGGTTCATAAATCCTGTCCTAAAGGAGCTTGGCTATAAAATATTAGTTCTGTTAAAATATTTTAAAATAATTCACGTTTAAGGTTTTATGTTCCATATGATACCATTTATTCAGTCCACTGACAAAACATAACACTTCAATAATAAAAATTTTAAGAGTAAATTTTAAAACTAGCATATGTTTGGGCTCTGCTGCCTTGGAGCTGCTGGAAGATGAGAAGCAAAAGTTAAGGGCTACTAAGTTTGATGCAGAGGCCCTAAAATTTCATCAGTGAAATTAAATTCCCATTTGGTTTTGGGATCTGTGTATAGAAAAATGCCCCTGATGCCAGGCAACAATATTTTCCATGTGAGTGTCTCATTCTTTACTGTTGCTTACTGTGTCAGCATTGCCAATTAAATGTACACAGAGGTAAAGTGCATGCAAACTGCTGCCAAATGAGGGTCAAAAGCCTCAGCAATGTCACACTTTGCAAAGCATGCTGTGCTTGTGAAACATTTTCTCCT